GATCCGTCTTCAGTGTAGGAGGATAGTTGGCTACTTCAAAAGCAGTACCACTGCAAAGGTGAATTCCTTTATTACACAGCAGTATTCAAATTAATGCAAAATGACTTGAAAAATGTTTTGTTTCATATTTAATTTTTATAGACAAGGCTGACACAGGTGCAGGAGCAAATGATGCCTACAGAGCCTGTGCTGAAGCTCATTCAAGAGGTAAGTTGACATCCATAACTGCTTCCACTCCCCTTTCAAACAATAATGACCTTTTATATTCAGGTGGAGACACGCTGGAACAGCACCTTCCACATGTTGCAACGAATGTACAACCTCTACAAATTAGCTATAACCTTTCTCTGTACCCCAGCCTCATCCGTCCATTGTGAAAGACTATTTTCAAAAGCAGGAGAAATCCTATCGAAGAAAAGAAACCGTTTAAAGCCAAACACTTTGGAAATGCTTGTTTTCCTCAATAAAAATGAATGAAAGGTGTATCTTGTTCCTTGTTTATGTCAATGTCTAAAATAAAGCAATCATTCTTTCAAGTAACACACGCACATTCATTCACATCACAACTCCCTGCCCTTTTGACTCCATCAAATCCATGGTATTTTAATCACTGTGTCATGACATTTATTTTCCACATGATGGCGCAATAGAACAAATGGAGCCTCATGATGCATCGGCCCAGGACCGACCCAGTTGGATGGAAAGCCTCATTGCTTCATGAGGCTTCAGATTCCCATCACTAACTACTATGATCAGATATCAGTAGTAGTTATTTATTCCTTTGTTGTGTTTTCACAAATGATGAAATCACAATATAAATTCTGTAGGGGTGGCTATAGAATTTATTCTGTGATATCCTCGTTTGCTTTTTAGTTTTGATGTATAATTTTCAATTTTTGTAGTTTCACTGAAGTAATCATTAGTATACGTTTTTCGGAGGCGGTCTTGAACGCCTCTTGAGTTGAGCGGAAGAAGGCACGTAGACAGACAAAGACGTACGTGTATTTGTTGAGACTGTTTTAAAAAATGAACACCACAGCTCTCCTTTTTTCGGAGCTGCAACAAAAACTTCTTTAATAAAGCAACGACACAGTTCACTGAACCAACAGCAAGTTATAACATTGGAAGCATGTCTCCAGGAAAGAGCCATCTTGGAGTCGATGTATTACCGTAATGACCATACAAAAGATGCACCGTATTTTAAGGCGCTCGGTGAGCTTTTAATAAAATTGAAGACTTTTTGGTGCGCCCTATAGTGCGGAAAATACGGTACTGTAAATTTTGACAGTTTTACTGGGCAGTTGTACTTGGACAATGTTTACAGTATTCGGTAGCACTCGCGGCTCACCTCTCCCACAGCAGTGGACAGCAGACGAACAATTTTTTCATGGGGTGTGGCAACCACACTTTGGCTGTTAATCTCAATGATGCGGTGACCAACTCTCACTCCACCCCTTTCAGCAATCCCACCACGCATAAGACTACAGATCTGTGCAGGGGAAGACCATCATTTGAACCTAATATCAATATTATACACATGAATGTTCAGAAAGATTACCCACAGTGCCATTCTGGACACTGAAACCCATTTGGTAGCGGAGGTCTGGACGTCTGATGAGTACTGTTGTCACTGGAGGACATCTCACTATGTTCATCTTGATCCTTGACTGTTGTTTAAGACCCTAAAAATAAAAATTGTGGTTTATACTTTAGGGTTTTTATTATGAAATATTGAATCAACAAAAGTGTGTTTTAAACACACTGCAATGAGGTGAAAAGCCTTTTGTTGCTTGTGGGCTCCTATCAGCCACATATGAAGATTGATAATACTCCACATACCTTGATGATACTCTGACAAGTGGACAATGGAAGACACACCAGACTGGTACCGTTAATGGACATGATCTGATCACCTATGTTCAGCCTGCCAGACCTCTCTGCTGGTCCAGCATGCATCATGTTGGCAATGATGGCTGTTGGCAGGATGGAGCCCCACCCACTCTCCACAATGACCACACCAAGAATCTCCCCTTTTGTTTTCTCGAGCAACACCTGAAATACATGGGGCGGGGAAATACAATTAAAGGGGATACAATGTGGAAAAGTGGTCTGTCAATATTTTCATAGAAAAAGTTGGGTCTCGAGAGTGCATGCCTCGTTGCCCACCCATCAAGTGTGAACTTAAACACCCACGTAAATGTTATGTTATCTGCCAAAATATGTCTTTGTGACTGAGTCATTCTGCACTCCCACCTGAGTATTACAAACAGCCTAATTAAACATGAGTTTCCCCAACAATGGCTTAAGATGAAGTTCCAGAGCGGAACAACCACTCTGGCATGGCAGCTGAAGTAGTATCATTTCACACCTGATAGGTAAGAGGAGCTACAGTTAGCATTAAATAAGAGTGTTAGCTGCATTCGCTTCTGATAATAATGTTATCAACATTTGGCTTTGATGGAGAAAGACAAATTTAACATTATCATGTTTCAAAGTTTCATTTCAGTATATGCTTAATTGACTTCGAACGCTATGTTCTCAAAATTTGTACACAATGGAGCACACAGAAAAAAGGGCCAACTTGAGCTGAACGAAGCCAGGGCCTCATTAACTGATAAGACAGGCAGGAGGGTTGAACTTCGGGAGGGCAGCATGACCAGATGTCCTCCAGTTTGTTACAGTGTCTCAATTCATGCGAAATCCGCCCATTGTATTAACAAGGTGTCCATGGTTTGCACCGGAAGATGATTTGGTCTCCAGGTGTCCACTGAGGGGCGTATCGGTGGGCTGGGCTGGGAAGCGCGACATGCAAATAAGGAGGAATGTTTTTCTGATATGTTACTTGTATTTTGCATATTCTGTGAATAAAAAGTGGTCAGCGGGGGTGCGAAGGTGGGGTTTCGATCTGAGAGAAAACACGAATTGTGTTGCTTTCGAGGAACTTTGCCCCCTTTGCTGATCAGCAAAAGACAATCTGTTCCTGAGTTGAGTCGAGTCTTTTCATTCAAAGTTCAAGATGTTCAGGTGAATTCCCTGACAGGCTTATTGTTATTGATGTGGGAGTAGGAGCTATTTGTGTTGAGCAATGTCATGCGCTTCACCGCCACGCTAATTGAATTTAAGTTTAGTTTGGTGGCTTGGTGATGAAATGCTGCTTCTACAAGTGATAACGCAAATGGATTTCGCGCGGTGCTCACTTTAAATATGTCTGTGGGGGAGAGGGTCTGGTTAAAAAGGCGCAAGAAGTTGGACTTCATAGATTAGCGTTAGATAAGGTGCATTTGACTGCTCTGTGAAGTTATGGGCCTGCGAGGGCCCAAAACCCTTTGCCTCTGGCAATATGTCTATGGGCCAGAAAAATGCTTTGATTATCTTGGGTGCTCGCTTGTTTGCCACACTCTGGACTGGACTATTTTTGAAGGATGTTGAACTCATTAAATGCCAGTCATTAGCAACACAGCCAAGCGTGAGTGGCATCCAATTGAGAGGATTTGAACCTTTATTCAAAGGCCAACAGCAGGGGTCTCCAACTCCGGGCCTGGAGGGCTACTGTCTTGCCTGTTTTCCAGCTCTTCCAGGAGCAACACACATGATTCAAATAATCAGGATCGTTCTAATGCTGCTTCAGAGCTCAAGAACTCTGCTGTTTTTTGTTGTTTTTTTTTTTTTTTTGGTCATATGGTGTTTGTTGTCCTTCGTGTGGACCTGTTGTGGACTGTTCTCAGCATTTTGGCCGTGACATTCATGGAAGGAGCGGTGTCTGCGCTTGATGGTTGTACTTCCTCGGCAGCATGTGTTGACCAGCACTGATTTTGATGGGGGGGATGTCAGCGCGATTTGACTGTTGCTGCTTGACAGCCAGGGGGTGCTTGTTTTTTGCACCTGTGGTTGGCAGCATTTTCACAGCTCCGTTTTATTCACTAACAGTGGCCATGAAATATTAAAAAGGCATCCATACTGGACTCATCAACTCAGACAGTCTACAGTTTAGGGGACTGACACATCCAGAATATGGCAACCCATGTTATGCCATTGCACGTTATACGACAAGGAATAAGGAGGGCTGTGAAATGACATTGTGCAACAGTTAACTTAAAGATTCACATCATGCGTGCCCGGTGAACAATTTTCCAAATCTAGTCTGTTACGATACTGTGATAATGTATTGTATTTCTTATGTACAGCAGAACCAAATCAATGTTTGAACAAGAAGTAGTCCTACTTCTTTGCAGTTTTCCGACCGAGAAAAGTGGATGAGGTCATCATTGTACATTCCCCGAGTGTTAAGCAGGTCACTGTATTCTTTATGAGTCAGGTCCTTAGGGTTAATGCCGTTGGCCCTCAAGAACTCCTGGTAAGCCACACTGAAGGCCTGCCCAAGGGACTGGCCAATGAGCTGGGCCTGCATATTGGGGTAAAACAGGAGAAACACTTCATTCCATCATCAATTTAGAGGGAAAAAAAGTCTCTCTGAAATTGAACACAGTGCAAAAATTAAGGGTAACATAAAAGAGTATACCAACATAGAAACAATAAAAACAACAAAATAAGGTCAATATAAATGCAATTGTATTGTTGTGTGAATGAGGTATATATTGTATGACAGTCTAACAGTAAATTAGCTGGTGCTTGGTGAGTTTAAAAAAGTACACAGTGCTATTGTAACTAACAATACAACACACATCAAAATAACATCATGAGAGTGCAGCAACTTTAAACTTTAAACAAAGGTCCCCTTTGTCATGGAAGTGCCTTAGGTTCATCGAAAGAAATTTATCCTAAGACACATGATGACATCACACCCAATACCTAAAATTCACACATTAAAAAAATGAAAATGGCTACCGAATGTAGTTGGGAGGCTAATATCTTTGTTTGCGTTATAGCAATAATGACAAATTTGCTGTCAAAGTATACATATTTTGGGTAACTGAATTTAATAAAATGGGTTTCGAATTAAACAAAATAAAATAAACAACAGGAGAATGACCCTTTCCATGGCAATTGGAGTAAAATATGTAACGGTAACAGTTATTTTGAAAAATGCATGCCATAAGAAGTCTATTTACAAAGATGCATTGATCCATCCATCCATTTTCTTTTGCTATTTCGGGGTGGGGTGGCAGATGTAGCAGCTTTAGCAGGGAAGCCCAGACTTCCCTCTCCCCAGCTCCTTCTTCCAGCACTTCCAGCTTTTTAGGCCGCTCGCATCTGTGATCTTGTTCTTTCAGTCATGACCCACTGCTTTTGACAATAGGTGAGAGCTAGAAAACATTGCGTCTGTCCTCAGTGTTCCACTGTGTGGCCCCTCCTTCTGTTCTGGTTTTCGTTGCCTTTCCCTTTATTCAGTGTGGGCTGGGTGTTCTGTTTTGGTTGCCTTTCCCTTAATTCAGTGTGGGCTGGGCGTTGCACCTGTCTCACCTGCCAGTCCTCACCTCGTGAGCGACACTCTCCTCTGCAGCATAAAGACCAGTCCGAAGAGCAACCCGTTGACAGTTCATCAGCTACCTTTCCTGCCATACTCTCTGCTGCCCAGCTGTCGCTGTTGGTTTCTCTGACTGCCTTTGGTTCCTGCCTCCTTGACCTGACCCCCTACCCTGACAGGAAACCAATACTGAGTTCATTGTGTCTGCCTGGGGATCCTGTGCTTGTCCTAAGCTAAGCTTAACCGTGAGGTTAGGAATATAGATCGAGTGGTAATGTGAGAGCTTCACCTTTTGGCTCAGCTCTCACTGCGACAAAAACATTTCTCGTCTCCGCCCTTCACTTTCTTGCAACGCCGCTCAAACCCTCATCCACGCCTTCATCACCTCCCGCATTGACTACTGCAATAGCATCCTCTACGGTACAGCCTCCAAACACCTCAATAAAATACAGTACATCCAGAATGCCGCCGCCCGTCTAGTCACCCGCACCCGCTCTCGCGATCACATCACCCCTGTCCTTAAAAGCCTCCACTGGCTCCCCGTTCCCCAGCGTATTCAGTTGAAATTCCTCCTACCCACCTATAAAGCCCTTCACAATCAGGCCCCCTCCGACCTCTCTGACCTTCTTCACCAATACACTCTTTCCTGCAACCTCCGCTCCTCAAACACAAACCTCCTTGCCATCCCCGTGACCAAGCTCAAAACCTGGGGGCACCGAGCCTTCTCTGTCGCCGCCCCCACCCTCTGGAACGCTCTACCACAACACATCGCAACTGTACTGACCTCTAATCCTTCAAATCATCTCTGATGTATGCTTGTTTTAAGTGTACATTTTTATCCTGTGTTTTAAGCTCTTGTAAAGTGTCTTTGAGTATGATGAAAAGCGCTTTCAAATAAAATGTATTATTATTATTATTATTATTATTATTATTATTATTAAAGTTGGAGTCAACATTCCTGAATGCCACTCCCTTAGTACAACATCAATGAAGTGAACAAAATGAACCAAAGATAGTTATGGTGAATTTTCTAATACACATGAATGAATTGAGTGACTGAAAGAATTAATGGTTGATGGCTATGGCGAAGAACTACTTTGTTTCACTAATTGAAAGAAAGTGGTACCAAAACACACATGAGGGAGTAAGTGGGGTGCATCCTGAACTGGTTGCCAGCCAATTGCAGGGCACACAAAGACAAACAACCATTCACAGTCAATCACACCTCAGGCCAATTTAGAGTGTTCAATTAACTTACCGTGCATGTTTTTGGTTTGTGGAAGGAAGCCGGAGCACCTGGAGAAAACCCACGCAGGCACGGGGAGAACATGCAAACTCCACATGGGAAGGCCGGAGCCCTGAATCGAATCCATGACCTCTGTATTGTGAGGCAGACTTGCTAACCAGGCAACCATTGCACCACCACTTGATGAGAAGATTCATCAATATTTAGTAAAGTTTACCATTTCAACCATTTCCTCTTAGGCATCTTCATTTGAGGGTCCTTCACACTCCCAAAACTTGTCGTAGTGAATATTTCTCTTATTCCTGCTTAGCTTATATAAACTCACAATCGCACAACCATACACTGTCTGTATTATTGTGTTGCATGCTAAAATGCGCGCTGGTCAAGTAAAGTTGCACAAAGGCTGTTAAAGCCTTTTTGTATTTAATGGCTTATGTTTTGGATACAAGAAATGCAAAATTGAAGTTTAAATGTGTACTGTATGTTTGATAATGTCTCACTGAAAATGGTTCCAGACAATAAAATACAGTTTTCTGTTCATGCACAGTTTGGCTTTAAGAAATAAAATCTGTTTATTATATGAAAAAGGAAACCAACCCAGCCGCTGGGGAGCGGTGCCCTCCCCTGGGGGTGCACTGTTCCCCAGTGCCGGTCCCAAGCCCGGAGAAATGGGGAGGGTTGCGTCAGGAATGGCATCCGGCGTAAAACTTTTGCCAAGACGACCATGCGAGTTGGTAGGACGGTTTACAGGGGCGGATGGAAATTACTGACTCGCTGTGGCGACCCCTGAATAGGGACGTGCCGAAAGGAGAAGAAGAAGAAGAAGATATGAAAAAGGAAACCAAATTATTTTTCACATATTTTTCACCTTATAAAAATATTGAACCATGTTCACAATATATTATGTACCATGAATGAAATAGTCCATCCATTTCCGCTCTATCCTCACGAGGGTCACGGGGGGTGCTGGAACCTATCCCTGCCATCTTTGGGCAGTAGGCGGGGACCCTGAACCCGTTGCCAGCCAATCGTTGGGCACACACAGACGAACAACCATCCACACTCACACTCGCACCGAGGGACAATTTAGAGTGTTCAGTTCACCTGCCCAAGTACCCAGAGAAAACCCACACAGGCACAGGGAGAACATGCAAACTCCACACAGGGAGGCCAGAGCCAGAATCGAACCCTGCACCTCCGCACTGTGAGGTCGACGTGCTAACCACTGGACCACCAAGCCGCCTAAATGAAATATGCAAGTGCAAAAGTAATTCCGTGAATGTCACGCCGAGCTCACCGCCAGCATTCATTTAATTCTGAATTCTTATTCGTTTTGCCACCCCTCGAAGTCAGCAGCTTGTCATCCTTATTCTGCAGGGTCTAAAGCCCTCCAGCCACCTAAAGCCACCATCCCCAATGGATGGGGTCATGATCGGTCAGGCCGGGGGAAACGACAAGTCTCTGCTCTGTTGCTGGAGACCTCGTGTCAGGCTTCTGAATAATGATGCGTGAAAACCTGTAACCATTGTAAATAGCACAGCCACCTTACGCTGTGTTTTCTATGCTATTGCTATTTATGATTTATTATATTTATTCTACAAATATATTGCTAATGCTTTGTTTTATATTGCACTTATATTGAACTGTGTACAGTTGTTTTCTGAAACATTTATTTTGGGCAATGAAACACTTTATCCCCCCCCTCCCCCCCAGTCTTGCTGCTGTAGACTGCAAATTTCCACAGTGTGGGACAAATAAAGGTTATCTTATCTTATCTTATCTTAAGTAAATGAGACCTGGCGAACAACCGCTGCGTGTGCTCACTTGCGAGATCTTTTACCATTCATCATCAAAAAAGGCATCCATTAGTACTTCTAAAATTTTTAATATGGTTCAGCATTGTTGTCAAACACTATTATGCTTATTGTATACACTGTAATTTTATGACTTCGGTCACGACTGGCTTGTTGAAAACCAGAAAATGGGAATGTACGGCAAGTTTCCTTGCTGCATCGGTGTTGGCCAATCAAATACCACTGACGACATTGCTCCACTTGGCCCAAGACAGCTGGCGCTTCAGAACCGCCCCTGAGATCATTCTAAAAAGTGGTTCCATCAGAAGCGCTAGGCCCCAAAACAGTCTCATGGAAAAGCGAACATCCAGGGCTAAGATGGCCGTCTCGGTGTCAAGCAAGGCTAGTGGAAAAGTGGAGGCCTCGGGCATGATCCAGGACACGGCATGACCCAGGACACGCTGGACAATATTTGTCCTAGTTGGCTTAGTAAGGACTTTTGGTCCCCCCAGAAGAGCAGGAAGATCTGATTATGAAGAGGGAAGTCTGGATTTCCCTACTGGCCTGATGAAAATGTATAAGTTAAAGAAGATTGACACTCACTGTCCTGTGGTTAATATTGAAATTTCATCGATATATGAGTAAATGATTGTAATATAATAATAATAATAATAATAATACATTACATTTATAA